CACACAATAACACCAAAAGAAGAACTGACCGGTGTTTCCCCTTTCACACTTAAGCAAGTTAGACACACATGAACTTAAAGACTCTCTCTCACACACACACACACACACACACACAAACACACACACACAGCTGTGAGAGGGAAACTCGGTTTGACGTCACAAAGTTGCTAGGCAACCGGCCCGCCGCGGTAGAGAAGATTTTCCACTGCAGTAAAACACATTGTGTGTGTGTGTGTGTGTGTGTGTGTGTGTGTGTGTGTGTGTGTGTGTGTGTGTGTGTGTGTGTGTGTGTGTGTGTGTGTGTGTGCGTCTCAGTATGTGTTTTAGTTGGTGTGCTGATACTTCTTGTGCCGACCCACTTGAGTTAAAGTTCAGTTCAATTCTTTTTTTATCCTGTGCCCTACAAAACCTTTTTCGGATATAAGAGATCTGATTGGTCATTTCAAAACATCACAAAAAAGGGACGCGAGTCAGTGTGACATTAGTTATAGTTACAGTTCAGTTAGAAGCAAAACTGTGTGTATACAGTAGCGTGTTGTTCTGCAGAGCGCAAGTGCGTGCTGTGTGCAGAGGGTGTGTCTGTGCTATCGTGAGTGTGTGTTTCTCAGTATAGGTGCAGTCTGCATTCCTAAAGACACATCTGTTTATGTAATGGATGCATTTATTTTCAAGAACCAACAGGTGTATTGAAATGTGTCTCAAATGTGTGATGCGCCTTGCTTACATTACAGAACAGACAGCATGACTTACACCTTTGGCTTCAATAACATAATAAGCGAGAGCCTCATGAGCCCAGCCCCACTTCCGTAATACTGTCGTTTCTGATCTTCTAGCTTTACTTGCTTTCATCCATGTTTCAAACAAAGTGTGTGTTTCTGTACATCGTCACTTACAAGTTATCTTCTTTAATTGCTGATCGATGAATTGTTAACCTAATTCAATTGTGCGATTAAAAAAACCAAAACATTTGCACACAAAAGATGGACAGCGAGGTGTGTTTGTTCTGCTCGTTCTTCTCTTTCTAGTTTGCTTGTGTTGTATGTTGGTATTTTATTAAGTATGCAAGGTTGTATGTATGTACGTTTTTTGTTATTTTTGTAAAAGTGTATTTATGAGTATAAATGTATGGATGCAAGTGTATACATAGTTTGTTCAATTGTTTATTCAGTTTTAGGACATTTTGAGCATGAATTCTAATAGACTTGAACTCAAGTCTGGGCAACATCTTGTCAGTCTTGATGATACTCAGAGCGCTTTTTTTTACTGATGTGAGGATTTTTGTCAAACACTGTTTTATATCCTGCAGCTAATTGTTTTGCATGTCTGTAAATGTCTTGGAAGTCTTAACTGAAGCTGTTGAGTTTACAGGGGCCCTATTTTTTGAGTTTTCCCTTTCATGTAGTGTGTTATAGGTTATTGTGCATGTCAATGGTCTGCAAAGGCTAAAATCCCAAAGTTCCTTCTCTCCCACTGCCTGAAATGCCTCGTTTGAACTCCGTGAACTTTGTTTACTTCTGTAACATAGTTACATCACAATGTAACACTCACACTTCTTTTGGCTAGCGCTCCAACACATTGAACAATCGCAACGAAGCCAGCCAGCTAACCAATCAGAACAGACTGAGCTCTGGTTTCAGACAGAGGGTGAAAAGAGGTGCTCCAGCACAGGCAGTATGAGAAAATAAAGACCTTTTGGAACAAAAAAAGCTTGTAAACATGTCACAGTAGTAGAGGCACAACATACAAGTATGAAACCAGAAAATGAGCTTAATAGAGCCCCTTTAAAACCACTGATGGGGTGTGGAGCTTTGCTTGAAAGTAAAGCTCCACACAGAAATTGTGTGTCACCTTAGCAACGATTACTCTGCTGCAGGCAGATTCTTCTCTTCTCCTCGCCCAGAGCTCAACTGAAATTCAGTAGAAGAAAAAAAGAGATGCCAATCTATTGCAGGTGTCCCCTTCGCTGCCAATTGACTCAAAGTAGGAACACACTTGCAGTATGTGCCTTCTAACTTTGGAAGGATGCCCAAAAGAAGTCAAAAGGATCAGCCAAAAAGTGACTATATATGGCTCTGTTTGGATTCAGCCTCTACCCGTTAAAGCGTGTACTTTCTTCAGAAATGAGTTGATATAATCCAAAAGCTGATGACCATAGCAACGCAGATGTGTTTATAATACAGAACAAATGAACATGTCACGCTTACTTGGATGGATAACACAAAGGAGCTTTAATGATTCAACTGATGAGGGGAAAGTCAGTCGTCAGGATAAAAATAAATACAGAGCTCTCACCGTTAAATGTATCCTGCACTTATTTATGAACTATTCTTAATCTTTTCACCATGTATACAATCAATACTATTATAATAACTTGCTTTGTATTTAGTTTTTCCAGAGCAACTTCTATCCTAGTATGATTGATGTCTTTAAGGTGTTGTGTTCAATGCTAGATGTCAAATAAAGTCATAAAATAAATAAATAGCGACGAAAAGCAGATATATGATTTCTTAGCGTCAAGAAAACCTGCCTAAAATGTACAAGTTTTTGTCTCTATTTCTCTCAATGTGCTACTTTCAAGCTCACTCTGTTCTTCCACTCCTCTTCTCTCTGTCCCTCTCCTCTTTCCTACACACCTCCCACACAAGCAAGCATGCTGTATGTGTTTCTGCATGTTTCCCTCTTGCATACATACACCAGGTTTCCTTAACACTACCTCTCAGGAGCTGTGAGAAGCTGCAGACGAAGACATGATATATCATGTCTTCGTCTGCAGCTTCTCACAGCTCGTTATTTTTGATAAACTGTCTACTTATGGGTGATCTACATGGTTACTTTCAACCCTGAACAAATATTAAAACGTAATAAAGTGAGCAGAGCCACTGCAGGCTATAGGCATTCACTATGTGAAGGGTACACTTACCTTTTCCGCAATACATATTTCATGCGTACCTTTTACTTGAAAAAGGTACTTATTAGTACCATACAGGAGCATGATTGTACCTTTAAGGGTACATTTGTATCTTTTGTACCTTAAAGAACAAAAATGTACCTGTACTGTACCTTTATTTCTGACAGTGTAGTATAATAACCTGCATGTTTGACTTGTCTGCTAGCAGGAGCTTCCTTCTTTTTCTCTGCCTGGATGAAGCGAAAAACAATGACCGGAAATATGCAAAGAGCAATACAAACACTATTCAAATCTATCAGCCAAATTTATTTAAACAAATAGTTTGGAAACCATGTCACCTGGGAGAGCCGGGGAATTGGTTTAGGGAGGGGTTGTTTGGTTAAAGAAGCATCTTTTTTATTAATCACGGCAGGAAATTAAAGATGGAAAATGAGATACTAATGATGGACCATATCACTCCAAGTTGTATGGGAATAAGTAGGGGGATGATTATTCAAATGTTTGCATGTTCAGTCTTTTACACTCATGGGGGACACAGTTTTAAAGCTTATGCATGGGTCATGTTATTTCAATATTAAAACATCCCTCCATATGCAACAATGTCTAAAAAAACAAAAAAATTATGTAGAATGAAGTCCTTAAAAAAGGACACTTACGGGACACAATGTTTCAGAAACGTTGTTATACAATGTTTTGTTAAATCGTGTTTCAAAGCAGAAGTGAGATGGCTCTGTGAACTCATCCTGGCTACATATAAAAACACATCCACCCACCCACCTAAACACACACACACACACACACACACACACACACACACACACACACACACACACACACACACACACACACACACACACACACACACACACACACACACACAGGCCTCAGCCTCCTCTTTGAACACCGTCCAAATGCAGGCAGAGCCTAAGTGTGTGTGACTAGCAAATTCTCTTGCTTTCCCTTTTTCTATCACCTGTGCTTTCCCTCACACACAACTTCACATTAGCCAAACACTAAAAACCACCCCTGTACACACACACACACACACACACACACACACACACACACACACACACACACACACACACACACACACACACACACACACACACACACACACACACACACACACACACACACACACACACACACACACACACAGGTCGGGGCACAGAGCTAGCTTTGTTACTCTGAATGTCAACCATTACTCAGGCAGAGAACTCTGGCTAATTTAAAACAAGAGACCCCATCAACATGCACAGGCACATTCAAACACACAACAATGCACAATGACATAAACACATTTTGAGGCAAAATAATAAAAAGAGATCCATAGGTACATTTTTTCACAGATCTGGATATGTTGCAGAATCACCAGTTTTGCCCTAGGTAAATGTTGGATTTGGTAAAAAAAGGTTTGTCAAATTACTGAGATTATAACAAAATCCTCAAAGAACCTCGATGCTCATTCCAAATAAAAATGGGAGAAAATATGTCATATATAAAACATATTCATGTCTATATTCAAATATAGCTGAATTTACTGTCAAAATTAAAATATGCAAGGTGGCAGCTGAAAACTATGATCTAATGCAACAAATTGATCAGATGAATGGAAAACAACACTGTAGGTACTTAGTGGTGCTTTGAGCTAAATGCTAACATCAGTTTGCCAACATGCTACGCACTGACAATGCTAACATGTTAATGCTTATCAAGTACTATGTTCCTCATCATAGTTTAGCGTGGTACTGCTGGCTAACTAGTACTGTACCAACTTTGATCCAAATGTGCTATAGGAGAGGTCATTGAACTATCAAAGTCAGTAAGATTCATCCTCAGGGGATCATGAATATCCTTACAGAAATAAAATAGGAATCCATTCAATATGTGTTGGGTTATTTCAATGTGGACCAAAGAGGTCTTTGTAAAACTCTCAGATATCCCTTTGACTTTCCAAGATGATCCATTTCTAAGACTTTTCCCGTGTGAATATTTGGCATTTCCAGCAAGTGCACTTTCCAAAGGTCATTGCCATTCATAACTACGAAAGGTCGCAGGGGCACACACACTCTCACTTCTCTGTACTTACCGCTCTCTGTTGAGAATTGAGGAATTCAGGGTTGAGGAGCTGCTCTCCCTTCTCTGTATCACTGGAAATGTCCTCCTCAGACTCTTCCCAGGAGGACGAGAACCCGGCCGAAGAGGCAGAGGAGGACGACAGCTTCCTGAGGGAGCGGGTGGAGAAGTTTGATCCGGGGACGGGGCTGGAACTGGGGCTGGGGGTGCAGCCTAACCCCTGGTCTGAGCCGGGGTCTTCAAAAGTTTGAACCTGGCTGTCCAACCCGTGGTCAGTTATAATGACGGCAGGGATGGAGGGACCGTGGTTGGAGGTTTTATCGGTGTCCATTAAACAGTGGGCGCTCTCACTGCTTTGTGCCCGAGGGAAAGCATCCATTCCTGGGTTAACCTCCAACCTATCCCCCTCTGTCTGGAGCGACATCTCAAGGCAAGATCGGTCCTCTTTCTCATCTCTTACTTCTCCCTCTGTCCGTTCTCTTTCGTCTCCCAACATTTGTTTGTTTTCTACCTCCCCTTGGTCTTTTTCTCCCTCTGTTTCCTCCCCTTCATCTGGGTTTAACATCTCCAGGGAGCCTCGAACGACAAACGCTCCGTCTAAACATGGAGTTTGCATTGTTGTTTCTGAATGGCTGCCATTTTGACCAATCAGTGTGTTGTTGTCTGTTTTTGTTGTTTTATCCTCCTCATCTCCTCTCCTTCCTACTTCCATAGTTTCTTCCTCCTGTTCTCTTCCATTTTGGACCACAGCAGGAACTTTACTCTCTTGCGGGTGGGTCATCGGGAATTTAAAGTCTGTGTTTCCTTGGTTGGGATCGGAGGGGGTTTGGCTAGGCGATCGTCTTGGAGGCCGAGGGCTGCGCTGGAGCTCAGTGTTAAGCACTTGGGCACGAATCCCGGAAATGTGAGCCTCGAAAATGCCCACTTTTCCCCTGACCTGGAAAAAATAGAGAAAGAAATGGTCTTATCGCAACTATAACCGTTTACTTTTATTCGTTTTGTTATAGTTCGGAGCACATCAATTCACATGTGTACTGACAAGACACAATATCGTGATAATATACTCAAAGTATTAAGAATAAACTAAAGAAATCAGCCTCAAGTCTAGAATTTTCCAATATTTGTCATTAAATGGACTGAACTGAGAAATGTAAAAGTGTTGGCAAGCTGCAAATTCAATGTGTGATTGTCTGCAGTACGCACAGAACAAGTGTGGGTTGAGAAGAAAAAGAGTCCAAATATAAAACAGAAATCAAACCAATGAACTGCTTTTGTAAAATCTTATTGAGATACTTTAAATGCAAAATACATTTGAATAATCTGTAATGATACTGATAATTGACACATACATATTAACCTTGTACAAATAACAGAAGTCAAATGGACTCACAAATATGATTAATGGAATGATTATTAAGTTTGCATATGAAGGATGAAGATAGTTGTAATAGTTGGCTCGAAATGAATTGAGTAACTGAAGCATTATCTAACTGACTAACATTCTTAAAGATAGACATTTCAGAGTAAAAGCCCTTTATCAGAAAGACAGAGACTAGAGGTCAAATTTGCCAGCTTTCACAAAGCTAAAGAATACAGTTAATTCTGTATTAATTTAAGTCCAAACTCAATTTCCTTTAGTTTTTCAGCTTTCAAAGCTAGAGGAGTTGTAGATTTTGAGATCAGTGGAGCGGGGTGAGAGGAGTTCCTACTGGCATTGTTCTGACATGCCCAACAAATCAAAATGAAGTAGTACATAAATTCTCCGGAGTTTGAAAACATTGCTTACGTATTGCATTCCTAGATAAAGACAGAGAGGTGGCGAGTGAGACGGAGAATAGAACATGAGAGAGAGGAAGACAAAGACACAGATAAATAGAGAAAAGACGAGAGGCACATTATAATCACCTCCACGTTCTGCAGCTCTCTGTGTATCTGCAGCAGCTGCGCCTGGCGTCTCCTGTCCTCTCGCTTCTCGCCTCCTCCCGTCTCCCCTCCTCCCCTCTCCTCCTGCCCTTCTCCTTCCCCTCTCTCCTCACCCCCGGAGGAGCTCAGTCGGCGGACCCGCTGGCCCACATTGACTCCCAGGAGCTCCGGGCTTCGTGGGGAGGGGGAGCGAGCGCGGTGTGTGGGGCTGGGGGAGAGAGAGGACGAAGGAGGGAAGACAAAAGTCCCTCCCAGAGTTCGAGGGCTCTGGGGGGGGAGACACAAAACGGGATTAGGGGCGAAAATGACTCAGTTGTATCTATTCAAGTGTGTCAAGAGATAACGATTTGTTTACTATTTTGGGACAAGTTAGCAGTTAGGGTTAGATTGGGGTATGTGGTTAGTTTTTTTGAAGGTGTCTATGTCAAATACATGAACTGTCCCCAATTACAGATGTGTTAGTAATGTGTTGTAAATGCTTTCTGTTTAGTGTCTGGGCCCCTATTCGAAATATATGGGTAGTTTATCAGGGTGTCCCGTTTCATAAAATATACATGAGTATTATTTTTAGCTTACATGTATTCTGTATTTTGTATATTTTGCAAGTAATTGCTGTTGTCTAATTTTTCTTTTTATTATTATGTACTTTTAGTTATTTTATAAAAAACAAAGTTGTGCTTTTGGTTGTACATGTTGTGTATTAATCTCAATACAAATTTGATCACAAAAAATAAATATATATGAGTCTTTAAACTCAAACTGAGATAGATCCTTCTGTATTTGCTCCACAAAAAATGCAAAAACTGTAGCGTTGACATGGAAAACAGAACAATGAATAATTTTAGTTTTTAATAACCTATTTTTGATAACAACAAATAAGCCTAAAAATCGCCCAAAATCGACACAACAGCTCTCGGATGAGTTACCTTAGGGCTGGTTGGGCTGTAGAGACCTCCGCCCGGTGCCCCCCCGCTCAGTAGCGGACAGAAGGTGCTCCGATCAGGAACGGGAAGCACAGGACGGCCCACTGGACTGGTTCTAGTTCGAGAGGCGGTGCTAGAGGAGCCTGGCTGGGTGTGAAACTGATTACTGCTGCGGAGAGGAGAGGGTTGGAATGTGTGTATAATTACCATAGTGATATAACTGTTACATGTTGTTGCCCATTCACTGATTAAATACACCCAGTGATGTCATACTGTGGTAGGTTATACCACATGTTAGTACCACATAGTAACATATCTAAGCATGAAGACTGGAAAGTAATCACATGAGTACTCTGCAGTGGTGGAATGAACTACATTTTCTAAAGCACTGCACTACATTTTTCTGCACTCCAGTACAATTATTTGACAGATTTAGTTACTTTACAAATGGGAATATTAGCTAATAAAAAATATAAATCACATCATATATCAACATTGAGCAACAGCACTAAATAAAGTAATTAGAATCCACCTTTACAAGTTGTGAAACATTAATGTACAACAAAACAACCATTACATCATATCTTCACAGCTTTGATCTATTATTAGATTACACATAAAAAGAAAAAAGAAAGTGCTGGCTAAATAGAGATATTTTATTCATACAGTATATTCCTTAAATGGTGTGAAGCAGGGAGGCATTATAAATTGTTTTGTAATGTTCTATAAATGAAAATGAATCTTCTAGTCCGGTCTAACAGGTTCTCAAGGGCAACAAACATGTTTTTTAACTATGCATTTCCTCTACAACTCTCAAAGAAAGCAGCATTGTCTTACAACAACAATGTGTCATACACTGTAAAAGAAAATAAGAAAAACATACCTGTTCATGACTCCAAGGCCGTTCAGGGCAGAGGCTGCCATCCTTGCGGCCAGGCCAGGGGCTTTGAGTGCAGAGTGCACATCTGACTATCTCCCCTGGAGCAGCAGGGAGGGGTGGAGGACGGCTCTCAGTGTTTCTTCAGTCTTCAGTCCGCAGCAACAGCTCCACACCGCTCCCTGCACCCGCCACTGAAGAAAGAAATAATATAGAAAGTTCATTTTACTGTGTCTAACCCAGGGGTGTCCAAACTTCTTTCACCGAGGGCCACATACAGAAAAATATACGAAGGGCTGGGCAACTCCCTAGAGGTACATTGCCTCATAAGTTCAGTTTTAAGTTAGCAAAATCAATCAGATTAAACTATGCTCGTGAGTGTTGGCAGCTCATCCCTTAAAACAGAAGCCTCATATTGATTATGATAAGGAGAAATATGAAGGGTGTATTTCAAGCTTGTTATGTTAATAAGTCATTGGGCTCATCAACTAAGATCTGTTAGAAAATGTTTAACTGAACTTGAATTGACTGAATTTATTTGAAAAGTGGTCTTATTAACACATGAATACTACTGTGTAATATATTTTTACATTCATATTTAAGAAGTACAATATAAGACGAGCACAGGTTTCATTTGTGGCCCACATTCCATTATACTTTTTTAATTAGCTGCGGGCCGATTCAAAATGGTCCACGGGCCGCATTTGGCCCCCGGGCCGTAGCTTGGACACCCCTGGTCTAACCTAACCCAATTATCAAAAGCCACTGTAAGACATTCTTTCTGAGGAACGTTCTCAATAAAAGCACTATTTCAAAAAGGACAGACACTAGAAATTCAATTTTGGATTCCTGGAAAGCCATCCCTAACTGCGTCATGGACAAAGAAGATTATTCATGTGGACATGTTGTCATGTCAGAATAAATGGTATCATTGTTCCTGCTGGGATTAAATAAAAGAAAAAGAAGGAAAGTGAAAGGGGGCAGCGAGATTCAAACTACTGTATTCATTGTAATATAACTGTTTTTATTAAATGATTTTAATTCTACAATGGAGCGACTGTCACAAAGTCAAAATTCCCCCGGGGATGAATCAAGTATTTCTGATTCAAGGATTACTATTTGAAGAAAATTACAAATGGACAAGCTCCACTTCTTCTGTTAATGTTTCATAGATATTTATATCAAAGAGCCGTTTTATTACAATGGTAGTTGTTGACTTCTCGTCCCCAACTAAGCAACTGCTAAATCTACACCATAAAGAAAACTCTCAGTTTCACATATTTGAGTGTATGAACATGTTTGGTGCTCTTGTGTCATAGCTGTAGCAAACGTGTCTGTTCCAATAAGAGCAGCTCCACTGAACCCTGCAGCCACACACTGTTTGAAATGTGCTTCTTTACACTTTCAGGGGAATACATGGTGGGAGGCACATGGAAAGAGGAAGGGAATACGGAGAAACGTGCAGACATGGAAGAACGTGGAGAGAACATTTGACAGTGATATCTTATTTTACTTATATAATTGTATTTCTAATTGTATTAGCCTCGTGTGAATCTACTGTCCTGTTTTTCACTCTCACTCTGTTGCCACTTTAAACTCCTGCATTTTCCAACAGGGATTAATAAAGGTCAATTTGATCTTAGAACGAGGCAGATAATAAGTGGCAGCAGAATTAAACAAAAAGAAAAAGCAACATGTCATTTTTCTGTGTTTGACTTCACAAAAAATAGGTAGTGTGCTTTCTGTTTCATCTGAGGGTAGAACTCTTGTAAGAAACAGGCTTTGCAGAAACGAAAATGGTCATTCTAGTTCCTGTTGGAAGATGGACCACTCTAAAGATCTGCTTAATGACTTGGACGCACTTGGGCACCACTCACAATAGAGCCGAATGCAGTCGTCTATCATCGTTTTAGTGCTTTTTGTGGTTCACACTAGGAACAAAAGCAACTGGTTGTAGTATCTGCTCAAAACAGGTAGTGACAGCTGAACTAAGTTATGGAAATGAGCTGCGCTGTGCCTTACTATGGAGTCAGATTTGGGTCAATATTCTAGTGTAAAACAAGCTACTCACGAGCGGAAAATGTGCTTTTACACGCGCATAAAATGACCCTCGCGCGCAGATTAAACCCCCGCGAGCGGCTCTGCACTCGCTCGCGAGAGAGACAGCCCTCTTGCTCGCTCGCGGGAGTATCAGCCTCGCGGAGTCTGTCTACGCGCGCGTGAAAAGTTTCTGGCACTTTGGGGCGGAGCCACTGGATTTTGATTGACAGCTGCCAGGAAACCCGGAGTTGCCAGGTTTGATAAATGCCTGAACTACCAAGAGCCGAGGAGTGACGGCAGCAAAATCAGTTGGACGAGATTGAATGGTAAAGTTGTCCATAAAAAACTATTATATTCGTAAAGTGTACAGCTTATATATATATATATATATAAATTAATTGTATATAAAACAATATATTTTTGAGTGGGCTGTATCTGTCGAAAATTGCATATATATATAAATATAATTGGTTGTAAAAATTGTTTTTTTATTTGCTTGATACAAAAGGACATTCTTTATAACCAATTGCTTTATTATCACGCATTTGTAATATTTGTATGCTAGAACTGTTGTATTCTTTTTGAAAAATAAAAAATAAATAGCTCATTTGTCATTCATTTGTATCCTTAATTATCCATCCAACACTGAAAAGGTGGTCCTTGTGAAGAATCTCATCACTATATTCCCTCAGCTGAAAGTCATTTACAACAATAGTTTGCTGAAGATTAAGTTTGTTTTAACCAAGGTATAAGGTTTTTTTAGGTGTGATTTTATGAATTATCTATTCTGTCAACATTTGATGAATTAGAAAAATATTAATATTTTTAAATGTTAACAATTATTTTCTTAATGACATATTGTGCTAATGAAATCCTTGTAAATAAATGTCCAATGAATGTATTCTTGCATTCGATTTTTTGAATAAAAACCATATCCACCACCTGGTACTTCCAGTAATCGTCATTGACACACAATGTGCAGATATAACACAATCAAATGTTAATTCTGGTTAAAGAAATATAACACAAAATGTGTAGAAATAACAAATGAGTGTGTTCATCTTGGTTACACATTTATGACACACAATGTGTAAAATGTGCACATTGTGTGTTAGGGGCATGTAACACATTTTGTGTGTAAAAATGATTTACACATAAATAAACACAACACGTGTTGTCACTGAGCACACTCTGTAGGTGTGTTGAAATTCAACACATGTTGTGTCATTTTTGACACATCCCTTCTAAGAGTGTACAGCAGACAGTAGCTAGCAATTTTCGACAGATACAGCCCACTCAAAAATATATTGTTTTATATAAAATGTATTTATATATATATGCAATTTTCGACAGATACAGCCCACTGAAAAATATATTGTTTTATATAAAATTAATTAATTAATATATATATATATATATATTAGCTGTACACTTTACGAATATAATAGTTTTTTATGGACAACTTTACCATTCAATCTCGTCCAACTGATTTTGCTGCCGTCACTCCTCGGCTCTTGGCTCGCGGGGGTTTAATCTGCGCGCGAGGGTCATTTTATGCGCGTGTAAAAGCACATTTTCCGCTCGTGACGTGAGTAGCTTGTTTTACGCGCTAGAATATTGACCCAAATCTGACTACATATTTACCGTGGTCAGACTGCGCAACACTTGCAGAAACGTCCAATTTCCAAATGGCGTACTTATGGGTTCGGTTTGAACCCAGTCAAACAAACTAATAGTTTTAAGCTATGAAAAAACACAACTGTAGGGGTGTTTCTGATTGGCTGACTCACAGCCTGCATTGTTCAAAGTGAGATAAGTCATTGCTGGCGTCTAGACTGAAGGCAAATCATTTTATACACCATGACTTTTCAAATGCCGAGTGATCATCCTATGCAGGAATTAGAGTGAATATCTTGTATTATTCCTGTCATATTTAAAAGAAATCTTTCAGAAAACTTGGCGCATAATTGGAAATAATTATAGTCCTATATAATCCTTTCTATCTTGCAGGACACTCAAACTGAAGCTCCAACATCTTGAAAACAAGTCCTTCTCAGTCCAGTTCTCGGGCTCATTCATGCATATTGCTATTCTCGTCATGCGCTAAGCTGCCTAAAGTGCCCTGGGATGTGTTTTGCTTCTGGATAAGTTAAGACATCAGGTCATGAACTACGGGGTAAACATGGGGTTTCCTTGTTGGGGAGTGACGCAGTTAGAGAAATGCAGGAAACAATCTTAATGGCCTGTCTCTCGGGTAGTTTACAAACCACCAGAGCAGCTTCTCTCACACTGTGTAATCACTTCTATCTGCTTATTCGACACTTATGTCCCCAAGGTTTCTGTCAAAACAACAACCATTCAGGTCTGGGGGAGATAAAGAGAGAGAAAGAGGGAGGGAAGGAGAATGCAGGAAAAGGACCAAAGCAGAAAGAAAGATCATGAGGAGGGATAAAGAAGTGTTGACCAGTCTTTTGTCTGCTTATTCTGAATAGTGGATTTATCAGAGGCCATAATAAAGCTGAACTGGGAGTCATTGTCACGCTGCATATTGCACATGGTTAGCTGCATCCCTAGACTTTTTTCCTTGTTGCACTCACGGTCAGTTTGTGCGTGACTGACAAAAAGTATGATTCACAACTTTTTAAACCCTGGGCTGTTTCCATTCTTAGCTGTGTTTGATCTCGCTTTTAAAGTTGCTTCTAGGAACAACAGAGAACTTATACTGCAATGAACTAACTTAAGAGCCACTGAAGTACATTTCTCAGGAGAAAAACAATCACCCAAAAAAGGCAAAGCCATTATACAACACATATTTGTTCTACTTGATCCCATTCTGCAAACCACTTGTCACTACATTCTGTACAAAGAGATACAGGTGACACCAGAAAGTGTCCATGAGCAGCACTGTTGACATTCCACACATTTTAAGAGACCAAATCAGTGCCATTTATCAGCAGCCATGATGCAGAAAAGAAAAGCAAACTACGGCTGTGACTTGGTACTGTGCTGATAATCCTGATTATCCTGATACTTAAAAAGCACTTGAAATGTAAGCAACAGCTGCTGGTTAAGAAGAGCTTGATGTACTGATAACAACCTCCAAAAGCTGTCGGTGTTTCAGCGCAGTCTAATGTCAGATTGAGTGGGACTGTATGAGTATTCAAACTGTCCACTTGCCTACACAAGTGGGCAATAAACCTACGCTCAGTGCACTAGTGCTCAGCAGAGATAAAGATTCAAAGGTGCTGATGCAGATTTTCCCATCAAGTTTAAAGGCAGATGGCAGGACAGGCATTTTGACGCCTTTTAACAGTGAGATGATATCAACTTGACTTGATATTCGACCATACTGTCTATGCTATTCAACCAGTTATATTTCACTTGTTGCATTCATATTAGATAGGCAATGGTACACATCAATAGGCAGGACATATTTATGGTAATATTGTTTTTTAACATGATGTTTAGAACATTGTGATGTGGCTTTATATGTAGCTAAAAACAACATTCCTATCTATTTATAAATTCTCCTTCCTCAATGGAGTTTCTGGAAACCCTGTTGTATCACAATTGGATCTGCCTCAACTTTTTTAAATATTGCATAAACAATATAACTTGCGATAAACAAACACATATTAAAGGGCACTTAGTTCTGCCTTTCTGCTGCACAAAATGATATTGACTTTTTAAGTGACATTGGGATACATTAATCTTCCAACAAACCCAAATAATCCCTGTGTGCAATAGCGCAATGTGTAAATCGCACAAGTTTACATCACAATGACGATAAAAAAAAAGTATTTGTTCAGCTCTAGTCACAATCAATACAGTAATCTTAAATGGCTAAACCACAATAGACCTATAAGCAGATGGGATACTCAAAGCAGAGAACCCTTTAGAGCGTAATAGTTCCCAGGAGAGGATGCAGCCTCAAGAGGGTCTTGAGAAAGACTTAGAGAATCAACAATTAGTCGATCAACCCATGAGTCGATTTTTTTGGATGGATTCAGCGAAGTAATTTTTATGTATAACATCAACAGTTCTTTTGACATTTTAATGAAAATAATAATTAGCTGCAGTCCTAAAAGTAACCTCTATTTAAACGTATTCTGTTTAACTAATGCTAACATAATGAAAAGTGCTGGGTTCTCTAAGTACATTTTGGGTCATGGTTGAAAGCTGGTAGAATAATTCATTAAGTCTGACACGTGTTGTCTCCTCCAGCTGTCTTTAAATAGTGATGTGCAAAGCATTCAGGAGGTAGCTGAAGAGCACATTTATGTAAAACCTGAAGAAAAAAATTAAGTAGTTTCAAGTATTTAGATTTCAGGATTTTTTTGCATGTATTTTTGTTGAATAGCCTAGAGTTGTTGAGAGCGAAACATAAATTGATTTGTTAAGGTATTTGAATTGATCCTGCTGTAATAAATGGATTTAATACTGAATTCAGGTGCCATACAATCCTGTCCAAGTCTATTGAATTCTAAACTATATGATGCTTTAAAATGAGTATTCAGTATTAGTGCATTGTTAAGCAGTGGTTATTTGAAGATTGAAGCATTTATAACAACAACATATGTATTAATAAGCAAATGAATTTGGCACAATAGGACTTAATACTGATTGAGTACTATAGACACATTTTAAATGGAAACAATACTTAAATAGTCAACATTTCCATACTCTCTGGATGGATGACTAGGCCTAATCCTGACAACTTTCACTCTAACCTCTCCATCTACACAAGAGGAGGTGGTATTAAAGTGTCATAACCTCTCTGGAACAGCAATTATCTCCAGAAATGAAATGAGCAGGCCCTGGTTGTCTTACCTCCCCGAGGTCCCGTCCTCTCCAAGGCTTCTCCGGGACACTTTTATTGGTCTGAGTGATATTACAGCCAGATGCCAGCAGCTATAATCCCGAGGATGACTCTTCTCTGTCTGTGCCTGACACTTTTAACGCGACTCATAAGAATACGCTACCCTGTGTGCACTACAACAACTTAATGTGCTCTTCTTCTGTGGTGTTCTTGGTTTCTTCCAAAAAAAACGAACTTCTTCGACGCTGCCGCCGGTGCTTTTCCCACCCGATTTTTCACCTTTTCACCCAAAAAAAGCCTCCTCTAAAAAAGAAGAAGAAGATTTCAAAATGTAGTTTGGTTTCCCGGGAGGGGTTTCGCTCTGTTTATTACACGAAAACTTCAAAGCTTGTCGTATCGAGCAGTGAAATGCTCTCGCAGCTTGCTCTCATACTTTGTGGGGAGGTTTCTGTTGTCATGAGTGCTGCAGCTCGTAGTAAAGCGCTGTTTGTCTGTGAGCTGGAAGCCGGAAGCGACAA